TATTGTTAATGCAAAAAAATTATAAGTTTTATATTGAGTGAAAAAGTGTGCGGATACTTTTGTCCACCCTCTGTAATTTACATTTACAACATGTTAAGATACGGTATCACGAATTAGGTAAACCTGCATTATTCATATTCTCATACCAAATTAATTGTCCTATTTCCAACAAGCTAGTAATAAAGGGAATAAATTTACAACGAATGGAAACTAAAAAATCGGCTCATTGATAAAGTCTCTTTAGAATTCAATTTCAACATGTTCCTTTGACGGAGTTTTCTGATCTATTAAAAATAATCAAATTTATAATATATTTCAAATATTATAACAATACAAAGTAATAAGTTATTGAATAAAGATACTTTACATACTTATAGTATCATGATTAGGAGGGTTATTACTTTCAGCGGCAGGTTGCTGAGATTGAGCATGCTCAGAATGTGATATTTCACAAGCCACCTCTTCCATGTCAGGAATATTCAATTCACGAAAATCAAAAAGTTGACTTGTATATTTAGCTTTTTGATGAATTACTTCAGTTGTTGCAGGTGAGTGTCTTCTAATACGCCACTGTTCAGCCACAGCGAATTCCGTATTAACCTTATAAGGAAGTTTTGGTGTCTCGATAATTTTTCTTGCCCAATCATGTAAAGTTCTATGTAACGATTCTGCACTTGGTCTTTTGGAAGGATCCGGATCCCAACATTGTTCCATTAATGCAGTGTAACACGGCGGAGTCCCATCTACAGGTTTAGGACGCAATCCCATACATATATCAAATGCCAATTCAGAATCATGTGCTCTATCACTAAACGGCCTTATGCCTGAAGATATTTCCCACATCATATAAGCAAAACTATAAATGTCTGAGCTTTTGCTAAATTTTTGTTTTTTTATAACTTCTGGAGCGAGGTAAGGTAAAACTCCAAAAACTTGCCCTTCTTCGAGTTTATTGTCAATTGGACGACATAATCCAAGGTCTCCCATAGCTGTATACACATCATTTGTAATCAATACATTGCCACAATGAAAATCGTGGTGTATTAAATTTGCTCCGTGAATAGTTTTCAATGCTTTAGCAATGTCACAAGCCAATGATAATTTAAGTTTCCAACTTGTGTTTGCTATATTTTCTGATAAATATTTCCTTAAGTTACCATGTTCAGCATATTCTAGAACGATTACATAATTCTTCGTGCTAGGATCTTGTGACATGCCATAACACTGCAACATACAGTTATCCCATGAAATTCGTTTATAGTAGGCCGCAAACTATAATTAAATTTAAAAAAAAAAATTTGTTAAAATTTAGAAAAATTTTTTTTTTTAAAAAAAAAAAAGTATCTTATTGCGTACCTCACTAAGATATTCTTGGGTAATATGTTCAGAATTTCGTAAAAATTTCAAGACAACTTTCTTTCGAATATCTCGTTTCCATTTTGTTCGCATTTTCTCATCTTGTAAACTTCTTGGACCTTCCAACCAAGTAGCAGTTGAAAGAGATCCATAACCTCCTTCACCTAGGCTTTTAATATAACGAAACTTGTCAAAAGGTATCCATTCCAAATAATTAAACGGACCAGCCGTGGTTAATTGAGTTTCTTGGATAAAAGCATCAATAATTTTATTTCCACTTGTCCATTTCGGAAACGCGGCTTTAAACCTTCGATTTTCACATACTCGACACCAAAAACTATCAGGATCTCTACAAGTACAAAGATTTTTCGCAGGTAAAGTAGAGACAATTGGAGTTTTACGTTCAATAATTGTTTGTGATCTTTGTGAATTATTATTGTATGAATAAAATCCAGATTGGGGTCTTGATTTTGGAAATGTACCGGCCAATTTGTTTGTTCGAACTGGCTTCTTTTTTGAGACGGTAGAAGAATCATCATCAACCGTTTCATTCTTATATTCAGGTTGTTGTAATTGACGTAATAAAATACGTATAGCATGCTCATGTTGATCTAATTTTATTTTTTCTTCTAATGTTTTTATTGCTTGTTCTATTGATTCATGATTTTCTAATGATTGTGTCGGTGATGTAATAATACTAGCTGAATTTGGGTCAGATTCTTCGGGATTAGTTTTGTCGGATTGAACCGGTGACGCAATAGATTCCGTCGTTGCCGTTGTTGCCGTATCTTTCTCATCAAATAAAAATTCTGATGAATTCTCGGAGTTTAAATCTTTCTTTGGTGAACCACGTAATGTTAGTGATTTACTTTTCATATGCATTTTGACGGGTGAAGGGGGTCCTGAAGACATTGGAGAACTTATGGTACTCCTCGTTATTTTAGTTTTGGAAGATTTATTGGTTGTTGTTACTTGTCCTTGCTATTTAAAACGTAACAAGTTTAACAGATAAAAAAAAAATTAAGATATCAAAAGGTTTGAGAATTATATTATGTAAATACCAAAGTCTGTCTTCTCTTCGGAGTAGTCATTGTTGCATTAATTGTCATGACTTAAAATTGATTTTTCGGGTTATTCATTAATAATAAATATGTAATAAAGTATTTTTTAGTCGTTTTAAAAATTTTCAAACTCTCGTTAGTTTTTTATATTATATTACGACCCCTTTTAATGAAAAAAGATAGTCTATATTGAAAAAAAAAAAAAAATGATAACTTAAAAAAGTGAACTCTTCATAAATAATAAAAAAAAAAGTTAACCTTTTTTTCTAAAAAAAACAACCGTCTGGATTAATGACTAGCATATATATATAGAAAAGCAAAAATTCAACAATCTTTCGGAGCAAACCATAATGGAGTTTCAACGAAATGTTGTGACTATAATTTTTTTACGTTGTACAAGCCAATCACAGAGACTCATTATTTTGTAAACTTTCAGGGGTGTTTACATAAATAATTTGTTATTGTTGAACTCGAAAAAATACTCTTAAACTTTTTATATTATCAAGTTTCCTGCTTAAGAACAAATGAAACTTCGCCTTCCGCACGGCCACAATGTTGATTACAAAATTGTAGTGGATCGCCCATTTCATTTTGTCTCCGTAACGAACCCTTAAAAAGATATCCAATTATAACATCGAAAAGGACAGGTCGTTGAACATTGTTTGATAATAATTCATAAACAATGACACATTATTCTCTTTAAATTTGAGTGATAAAACGGGAAATTATCGGTTTTTTTTTTTTTGATGCGAATTCCCGCCATTTTTAAGTGCCGCAGTACGTGCAGTTTTTACGTCTATGTGCATTATTTACAATATCCTTTGTTTCTAATGGCTGAAAACAACGCACGTTGTAGTACGGTCAAATTAGGTTTAAACTTCTTTTGGAAGGAGTTTAAAAAATTCACAATTGTCAACCCGTGAAAATCGTTCAACCAGTCTTTTTTAAAAATGCGACTAATGTCTTTAAGGTAAAAAAATGATATAAATTAATTTATTCTGCATAAGTATTATGCAGTTTAGTAAATGATGTGCTTAGGTACTAAATTTCTCACGATGGGGATAATTTCAAAGAAGGTTGTTCGCCACGCTTTTTGATGCATTCAAAAAAACTCAACCTAATATTATTCCTTAAAAAAAAAATGAGCGATTTGATCAAAGAAAAATTTTAACTTTATCTATTTATAGATAATATTCTTCAAAATGCCAAAAACCCGGTAACTGGAATAGTATTTATTTAATATCGATTTGCAAGAAATGGTAAACTTTTTGATGTTTTATCTAATTGATGTGACTTACATTTTCTTCTTGTACAAGCTCGTTCTTGCTTAATCAGATTTAGCTAGAATAGTTAAGAATTCATTTACTTTTGATCATGAAGGAATTGATAAACCTTATCGTCGAATGAGAAACTGCGTTATGAAAATGATCTTTGATGTGAGAGTGAGCTATAATATAGAAACTCGAGAGTAACTTTTGGCAAAAAGAGGATGAGTTTGCAAAAACCTCAAAAGAAACTCGACTATCACGTGAATAAATTTTAATGTAAGATGTG